TGTGTTACTTTGTATTTGTAGCTTCCCACCTCACAAAATGTCTTAGGTACTATTAGATGACTCAGACTTGCTTCATACCCAATATGCCACCTGTTGTGTCTCTTGTTCCCTTTCTGAGTGTGTGTTTGTGTGTGTTCTTTTATTTAATATGTTTATTTCTTTTCATGTTGAAAATACTTGCCTTGCAAACAGACGGGTCTCTTGTTGTCTAAGACATAAAATCTTAAATGTTAGGCTTATGAAGGCAGGCTTTTACATTCACCCTTGAGGAGTTTGCCTTATTTAAGATCCTAAATTAAACATTTCCAAGAAAATGGATATCAGTTATATACAGACACAAGGTGTGGATCAGACTCCGGTAACTGTCTTCTTGGCAGCTGCACAAGTAGCTTTAATGCTTTTAAAAGTCTGTGATTTCATTAAGTAAACTCAGATGTGTGTGTTTTTTTTTTTTTAATGTCTGTAAGTGTAGGTGTAAATGATTGTATATCATCTGGTTTGTCCTGTTCCTGGAAAGCTGAGCACAACTTTGGCATCAGGGCCTCCCTGTGGGTTTCATCTTGCACAATAGGGCGTTGTGCCTCCCTCTTTCAGGGAACTACCTGCTGTACACCTTCTCATTCAGACAGACTGTGTGCTGAGCGCCTGGGTTGAACCTGACACGGCTGGGCGAAACACAGCGTGGACCGTTGGATGCCTTTGATCCAGTCTGAGCCTCTTTCACTCGATGTGTGACCCTGTGTCTCACTTAGTCACTCTCCCCATCTGATACAAAGAGTTGTGTCTCTTATCACACTTGATGCAGTATGCTGAAGTCATCTCCTTCGCTGTCACAGCTGACACGACTGTGCTATTCTCTGCCTCCCAGCTCCACATACACACACACACATAAATACAATAACGATTGTTCCTGTTTCCTGGCCATGCTGTCATTATGCAGCTGCTGAATGAGATATGGTCCTGTTTCCATTGGTCAACGACAACGCGCACAAACACACACATACTTATGTACACATTTGTACATTTTCACAAGATATGATTTCTGCTATCTCATTTTCCTTTCTGTCTGATATAAACACACACACACATATTTGTGCAGGCACTCAAACACAAACGTCACTGACAGAACTCTCTGGCCTAATTCCCCTCTTATTGATGTGTGTCTGTCACTGAAAGAGGCACAGCACAAAGAGCAGTGATGGGCCTGTGCGAGGCTCAGAGGGAACAAAGAGTGGTCTATTCCACGCCAGCTCCCAGACTCTTCTGGAAACACTGCATTGGCTTGTTTAAGCTATAGCCATATTTTGAGTTAACCAGCTGTATGTTCAGCATTGAACAACAACATGGCTGCTTCAGTGTCAGAGAGCACAGGCCAGATTGACCCCTGCTTTGGATTGGTCATGCCCAGTTTGCTTTTTTTTTTTTTTTTTTGCATAAAGTGTAGAATAAATACAGCGAACTTGAAGAAAGAGTGATGAGATTATGGGGCAGACAACCCTCTACTGGAAAACGTACACGTAATGTAGTGCTGATAAACTTTTTTCTAACATTGTGCTTAGTTGCAAATTGCTTCATTGTTTGAGCTGTAACTCTCCCCTTAATCCCCTTTTCAATAATCACCTTTGATTGTCTCCTTTGTTCAATAATCATAATGGATGTAATTTTAGAACACTTTGCCAAAGTAACCTTTGTGGCTTAATTAAGCTGCAGCTGTTTTCTATCCCGTGAGCTTAAATTGATTTTTACAGGAGTTCATTGCAATATTGTAATTTGTCAAACACTATGTTAAACAAACAAGATGATTATTTTTACACACTGTCTTTGTTTTATTAAGTTTAATATTGGATCTGTATCTATCAATTAGTTGTTAGCTGTATGCTCTGTTGAGCTTTTTCTCCATGTTTCTAGTGTAGCTGGCCAAAGACAATAACAGTGGGATTACAGTTGAATGGAATGAGACACAGGGTTATGGACAAGGGTGTTTGTGTGTGTATTTATATGAGGGACTGAGTGAGGGTGACAGAGTTCCAGAGAGGCTGTTGTCCATGTGGTCATTTGTCATTTACCTTTGACAACACTGAGAAATTTCTGAGAAACGTGCTGACTCACAGAGGCTGCCGACCCCGGCTGTCACCGACAATAATCACTGATAATCATTGATCTACTTCTGTGGTGGACAGAACTTAAATAGACCAAAGTAGATCCTTTCACTAGCATGATGATGCACTACCCTGTGCAATGGAAAAAGATGACAGATGTCTTGCTCTTGACATTATTTAAAAATGAGTTCATCACAATGTTTCCACTTGCTTTTAAAAGCATCTATTGTTATTATCAGCTATGTGCATTATTTTCTCGGATAAGACAATAAAACAAACTCCTAGCACACAGAAAAATACTAGATGAGACATTGCCAGCTGTGCAGTCTTTTGTAGTCTGGTGTTATTATACTGTCTGAACAGCATGATGCCGTGAAATAAAGTAGTTGTAGTCAGAACAGAACAATTGTCATTACACATCCATCTGGTGTTTGTTCTCGTTGCGTCATCGGTTTATCATCATGTCAGTGGATCACCATGACTTGCTTAAACTGAACAAAGATACAGGCATACATATCAAGTTTGACAATAAATCATTGTCCTCTAAAGGCTTGTAAAAGAGGATTTAGTTTTAAATATAAAACTGCAGGCAATCAAGAAAACATCCAATCCAGCATTGGGATCAGCCTAGGGATGAAGGAGGGGATTTACTGACACAGAGGGAGGGATGGGTACCGGGGTCGGGACAGGACTTCAGGTTCAGCTTCAGCTTTAGGACAGGATTAACTTAGGTTTACCCCTACTCACCAGCTCTGAAACAGCAGCACAGTGTTTCATCGTAATGAGCCACATTTCACTGTCACTTACTATGTTAGTGGATTGTGTATGCATCCATCCATCATCAAGTGTTGACTTGATTACGTTACAGGTTTATGCATGACTAGTTTCCCTTTATGAGATGCTCCTCGACTGCATAGCTTGGTCACATATCGTCATATGCTTCAGTATCTGCCAGCATGACTCTCTTTATTTTTTTCAACAGTAAACAAAAGTCGAGTAAAGGTTATATTTTACCACCAATTTGTGTTCATGAAGGCATCTCACAAAAGAAAACACTGACAACTGAATGTCTTCAGTCAGTGAAGAAAGAAATACACAGTTACGTTAAATAGTAAAAATATTTTTGCATTGCACTGAGCTTCGTGGTATTAACATCTACACACTTATTTGTAAATGTATTTTCATGTTCCATAAACAAGCAGATTGCATTTATATTTATTATATAAAATTATTCCCCAGTTGAGATCTGTCAGTGCCAAGTTGAAGCTGTGTTAATATTAACATAAAAGGCACAATTATCAACGCAGTATCTTCATAGCTGCAGGCAGCAGCTAGCTAGAAGGTGACTGAACTGAACCCGTTCAATACTTTCCCCCTCTCCCTGGCAGGCAACAGTCGCATTTAACTGATTGGCACCACCATATAACTCAGCCTCTGAATTAAGCACATCAGTACCTGCTGGCCCGAATTTGTCAGTTGAACAGAAAAGATTAGATAAGACCAGATTTAAGATTCGCTTGTGCAAAAAAAAAGTCAAAGCTGCTATGTGAATGTGTATATCTGTATGCTTTCCTTGGCTGCAATATGCTACCTGCAAGTAGCCTTATGCTCATTCCCTTTCAGTCTGTTATGAGATGTCTGTGAGTGCATGTGCCTGTCTGTCCAACTTTGTGTTATTCTTTATGATCCGACTGCGTCGCTGAAGGAATATAGTTTGAGTATGTAACTGTCCCTCCCCAGGGTTCTGAATGTTCCTGCCTCGCTTGTTTTGCTGCCCTCGATGGGAGCAGCTATTGATGCTGCAGGGAGGCTCAGGCTGACTGCGTGCCTGTCTGTGGGTCCATCTATGAGGTGATTACTTTTCCACCAATAAGGTTGCTTCATGAGGAGGACAACTTCTATTTTGTCAGGTGTCTACTCTGTTGGTGGAGTCTCTGAGTTAAATTCAGTCAGGCAGTGTGCAAGGCTGCAGGAGGTGATCATGCACTTTATGTCCGTGGCATTGCACTGTTGGTTGTTACGAGTGTGGAAACCTTTGTCTCTTGATACTGCTGCAGAATAGGGAAGGGATGCCTGTGGGAATATTAAATGAGCTCCTGAAGGAAGACACACACATGCAAACATACACAAAGTTGTGCTACCCAGTATCACACATGTCCTGTTCAATATGCCCTGCATGTTCACAGCTGACATCTGATCTTTGATTGGAATCAGGAAGAGGTGCTCTATTGCTTGAGTATGTTGAGGACTGTGAGTGCAGCTGAGAGGGAAGTTTAGAATCTTAAAAATAATTCTGTTTTTAATTGTTTTTTTGGTATTCTTCCATCTATCCACCTCCCTCTCAGGTAATCCAGAAGAGTGACTCACACTAGGATGACAGTTGGGCTGATGGTAGGTGGGTTTTGTTTTTTCTGATGTGAGTCATCTTTTTTCCTTTCTCACTCCTCTATTCCTTTACATATCCCTTTTTGTTCGTTTCTGACTGCATCCCTCTCTGGGCAGTATATTTTCTTAGCCTTCACATACCTGCTTACTTTGAAATCAGTTTGTGCTTCTTTTTGTGATATTTGTTTGATATTAGATTGCCTGGATCCAGTTTGTTTTCCTGTATTACTTGTATTTTATAATCAGTCATTAGCATGTTTGAATGCTGAATGAATCAGATTTTTTTTCCAACTTTCATGAAATTTTAAATATACAAATGGCCATAAGTGGAAGTGGAAAAAGTGATTGTCACTGGATCTAGGCAGCATCCCAGCCTCTCATAATCCATCTCCTTTCTCTCTGTGTTAGACCAGCATGACTACTTGTTCCTGAATGAAAGATGCATGCTCCTTCTTTGGATCCATCCCTCTGACTGCCAATGTGCCGATCCAACCCTCCATCACAGTCCAGTCTCCACTGTTTTCTTCTGTACTCCACTGTTTTGTAGTCTTCTCTCCCTTAGTCATTGACCTGGTCTGACCCTCTGCATGCCTGACAGATAGAGAGGGAAGCGTTAGCAGACTCTTTAATTGGACACTTCCTCCCTGCTATTCATGAGGTGTCAGCGGGACCATATGCAGCAGGGGGACAACAGTCAAAGGGAGCCAGAGGGGGTGGGACCCAGTTCAGGTCCTGGAGCTAGAAGAGTGACAGGGAGGTTACAAGGCCCAGGGTTGAAGAGGGCCTCGTCCCAGTCAGAGCACCCTTCCTTCAGTAAGATGAGCCAAAACGCCAGGGAAAGCATGGGGGTTCTTGGCCAGGGCTTGAAACAGCTGTTCCAGCATCAGCGTAAACGCCTCTCCCTGTCTCGCTCCACCATCACCTCCTCATCTTCTTCCTCGTCTTCCTCTGTGGTGTCAGCAGGTGGCACCTCCACCTCTGCCCCCGAGGACGCCCTGGGCTCCTGCTGTCCTGACTCTGACCACCTATCTGCTCCTGTGGTTCTTCCTGCAGCTGGCCAGGGCTCAGCCGCCACGGCCATGATGAGGCGTGGGACCAGCCTGCAGAGCCGGCGCAGTAAGGGGTCCGGATCAGGGTCTGGGAGTGGGGACCGCGATCCTCTCCTAAGGGGTAGCCCCCAGGCCCCGCACCGCCGCTACACTCATGACCCGCAGCAGCATATCAGCCGCCCACGCTCCTCCTCCACCACCGACACAACACCCAGCAGCCCGGCCCCCGGATACGCTGGTGGCGATGTGGTGCTGTCATCAGGGTACCAGTCGACAGAGGAGACCGACAGGGTAAGTGACAGCAGCCATTAATCATTATCATGACACAGGTTGATCGATGTGTCTCTTTTCCCCTTTTGCTGGTGTCAGGTCTTGTTTGTCAGTGAACTGTCAATCAAAAGCTGAGGTTCACCTTGGTGCTGATGTAAAATTCCCTGTGGTTTCAGCCGTGATTGCAAAGACAGGGCCTGCTGTCATTGCTACTGTCTAAATTTTCCCTTTGCTGACTAATTTCCAAGGAAAAGATGTTTTTTAATTGCCAAAACAGCATCAAGCCATATATAAAATTTGCTAACAAATAAATGACACAAAATGCACCTGAAGACACAACCAATACATAACAGTGTAGCCTGTATTAATAGGTTTGTTATTTTTTAAAATTTGACTTAAACAAGTAATGAGGGGGTCCGTATGAACATAACAATGGGTTTTGCTTGTTCTAATCATTCCTGCTGATAATACAGCCTTGAAGTTTTCTAACATGCTTCCAGTGAAAGTGATACCAGTCTTTGCTCTGTGCAGAAATGCGTTTCACTGCCTGCCTGAAGCGAATGTGAGCAATTGGTAGTTGCAGCTCAGACAAATGAATACAAAATCCTGCAAAATTACTGCTTAGCTTTTAAAAACTTTTATTCGTGTTGAACTACAACTCAGCATGGAGTTACAGTCCAGCCAAACAAGTCAGCCCAATCCTCATAATAACTTTTCAAACTTTTACGAACTATGGATTTTGTCCCTCATTATTTACACTGGTAGTGCATAAGACAGGGATCTATTTCAATGTACATGTAGGTACCAAACTATTATTTTAAGACAGAGTTGAAAAACTATAGACATATCCTTTGCAAATGACTTTCAGTGTTTGGTTTTGTCCTAGGCTTACAGTAAATGCTGCTATGCACAGTGCGAGTCAAAAGTTTGGGTACACTTATTCATTCAACTGTGTTTCTTTAGCACTGGAGGCATGAAAACTATGAAATAACACATGTGGAAAATATCAAAACACTGTTAAGCTTTGCACATTATTTGGAATATCTTAACCAGCTTTGTGTGGTAGTCACTGGGAAAGGTTTTTAGCTACCAGGTCTGCCTTATCGAAAGTTAACTGTTGGAATTTCTTAATGCGTTTGAGACCTTGTTCGAGACTAGTGTTGCTATACAGTGAAAACCCACTCAACTAAGTGAAGAGAAACATCAGCAGTCCACTATTACTTAAATCATGAAGTTCAGTCAGAACTCTGAAAGTTTCTTCAAGTGCAGTCATAAAAACCATCAAAGCTAGATTGAAACTGGTTCCCACAAGGACCGCCGTAGGAAAGGAAGACCCAGAGGGATAAGTTCATTAGAGCCCAAGAATTCACCAATTAGTAGTTTTTTTGTAGTGTATAAAAAATACATTTGATTGATGTAAAATAGGTTTTTGAACACCATTATGTTTTACTAATTAGGTGTTGTGTATGGCATGCATTTTTGCAGTGTCATACTCGTCTTTTTAAACTTTACCTTAAGTTCTGATTTTTGGTATTTCTGACTACAGTTGATTCTCTTTGCCACCAGAGGTCACTGTCAGATCAGCCAACCTGCTGTGATCGGCACTGGGCTTGGTTCATGTGGAGGTGGTGTTTGCATTATGAGCTCATGTTTGTTGTAGACTAGACTGATCCTTGGGTTAATGAAATAAGCTGTGCCAAGGACCAAATATTAGTGTGTCACAGATAGATGTCTGGCTATCAATCCATTGTGGGTATTAAGTCCAGACCAGTGGGTGTTGATATCCACATTGGGTGACAGCTAAATTTAATAAAGTCCTTCCTCCTTTCTTCATCTGTAAAATCAAGTATCCTTCAGTCCTGTGTGAATGACCTCACCTGGGATGACAGAGCAAGGCTGAGAGCCAGGCATCTGTGCTCCATTAGTCTCGCTGCTGTGATAGACGACCGTCAACCTTTTTGAGGTCTGTTACTTGCCCTTGGCAGAGATTATAACCTGTCTTGCACATCTCTAGCTAACATCATAGCCCTGTCACCACACAGCAACACAGCAATGTCATTAAGGTTACCCAAGCGGTTGCCGTGGTTACCCTGAAACTTGCAGCAAGCTGCCTAGAACTACGCCCTGCTCGGGTTGTCATAGTAACATAGTGGTTGACCTTGGAGGTGTGTGACATCCTCCTGTTAGTGGAGGTTGAGGGTTGCATAGCTTGTTTGAATTTGTGTATCAGTAATGAGGATTGTTCAGTGAATGATCAATTACCTTTATTGATTGTCACCCTTCCTCCTCGTTCTTTCTTTCTTTCTTTCTTTCTTTCTTTCTTTCTTTCTTTCTTTCTTTCTCAACATTTTCCCTCCTGCGCTCCCCTTCCCCTTTCTGTTCCTCTCTCTTTTTTCCTTTCCTGTCCCCCTCCTCTCTCCCTGGAGAGAGTTAATACAGACAGTCATCTGGTCCCTCCTCCTCCTCTCCTGTCTCCCCCTCCTCCCTCTCGATCTCTCCCACCACCTCCTCCTCACTCCACCCTTCGGCTCACTGACAGGAAGCAGGAGGCAACCTTGCCTTGTCCTAGATGAGTGAGAGCTGAGCACGAGCTGTGTGTGAATGTGCTCTCAGTTCTGTGTTCAGAAGAGGATGTGGAGGGGTGTGTACATGTGTGAATGTAGACCTCATTTGTGTCTGTGTTACAGATATTCTGTGTGTGTGCTTCCTGAAAATCATTTGTGCATTGACAACCATGTGGTATGAGCATCTTGTGTGAGCGAGTGTATCTGTGAGAGAAAGAGAGAGCTCAGGGGATCACTGTGAATATGAGTAGAGGGCAACACAGCTGAGCTGTCTTTATCTCCTCGTGCTCTCTCTCCCTTTTTCATCTCCCTCTTTTTTCACCCTCTCTCTCCCCGGTTGTGTTTGCATAGTAGACGAAAGCGGTGTGGACAAGAAATGTGTGTGCACATGAATGTTTGGAGAGTAGGGTAGCGTGTGTGCTTTCAGTATGTGTGTGTGTGTGTATGTGTGTGTGTGTTAATGGTGGAGCGTATTATGTGAGGAAGTGTGTACTTTGGAGAGATATCAGCAGAGAGGAGTAGAACAGGGGATCCAGATGTGGGTCCGTCAGTCAGTCAATCAGGATGGTGCAGCGCTTCAGTCTTCGTAGGCAGTACTCAAAGGTAAGCTTTAAACACACAGCATGTTTTGTCATTAAAAGCATATCTCTTTCTTCCCTTCTCCATGCTGGAGCTCCATTCATAGCTAAAGGCAGAGTTGTGTTAAATTTTCACTGCCTGTGAACCCTTTTATTATCTTTATAATGCTTGCGTGATGCATTGTTCATGCATATCCGTTTTCCTCCTCTTTCTTTCTTTCTTTCTTTCTTTCTTTCTTTCTTTCTTTCTTTCTTTCTTTCTGTCTTTCTTTCTTTCTTTCTTTCTTTCTTTCTTTCTTTCTTTCTTTCTTTCTTTCTTTCTTTCTTTCTTTCTTTCAACACTTTCTTGGATAGCAGCATGTTCTTTTGTAAACAGAGGTTTGCTTTCAAGCTTCCATTCACTTTTAGGTAGTTCAATCCATACTGTAACTGAGTGGTCTGTGTTTGCACTTTATCTCAACTCTTGTTAAACAGTAACTCTTGCTACAGCAGTAAGAGTGGCAGACTATAAGGTGGATTGGAACTGTCACCAAGAGATGTAATTATTTATAAAGATTATGTTTGATTATTGCTGATTTGGGAGTATTTATAGCTCACTTGCAAAAACGTCCTACTTAGCTATGCTGTACACCTGTCCTTGAGTTTGATATATCTATCCCCTGGTGGTAGTGCTGTTAAGAGAGTTGATGGGTTGTGTTAAAACACAGCATTAGGTCTGTTAAGAGCCTGCTGTTATGCAGCTGGTACTCAGCCATTAGGATTAATTACAATTAGCTGCTGATTAATTGATTAACTGACTACACCCTTCCTGCTCATTTTTAACTCCATGCGATAGTGCTGGGAGGCGTTCAGATGCCTGGAAGCATCAACATGCACACATGTGCTGGGCAGACAGATGCACTATCTCACTTTCAGGCAGGAAGGCCTGGACCCAAGGTGGCTGAGTCTGATCTAGTCTGATCTTTTCTCCCCTCTCAGAGAGATGGAGCAATAAAGTGAGAGTAAAAACAGGTAGAAGATGTGAAGGGCTGTAAGGTGCCAAATGTTTAGTGTTAGGATGGATGACTTTAGGACAGGAGATGGTGAGATACAGGGGAGAAGGCTCTGGTGGGATATGAGCTACTGAGTTTAGATGAAACACAAGCCAAGGCTTGAGGCTATACTCCTTTCACACCATACGATTTCTCTGTCTGAGAGACACTGAAACAGTGTTTGTCTTTGGAGATCATAACTTCCTCCAGGGCCTGTCTGCAAATGTTCACTAGCCTTGTCCCCTCCAAAAGCAGGATATAAGGGAAATATCGGAAAGGAAGGGGTTGGATAGATGACCTCTTCTCTTTGCCTCAAGCCACATCTCCACATGCCCACCTGTCTCCCTGCTCATCCTTTGTCTTCTTTTGTCTATCACTGCATTTTGGTTTCCGTGTCAGAGAAAACATGCTTTGTTTTCCTGTAAAATCCTTTCCAAGCTCAAAACAAAATGACTTAATTTTATATATGTATATATATTTACATTTACAGATTAAAACAACAGACAAAAACAAAACAAAACTAAAAACAGCCCATAGAAATGTGGTTTGATGTTAAATGTGTTCATCCTAAAATTGATTTCATTAAAATAACTTTAAGATTTTATTTATTTTGAACTCAGTATCTTATACCATGGAGTACAGATTTACATTACAGTATGTGAAAATGTGCAAAATTTGTCATTACTAATGATAATGTGACTTTAACAATTTGAGTGAAAGTTCCATCCATCCATTATCTATACACCGCTTAATCCTCACTAGGGTTGTAGGGGGGCTGGAGCATATCTCAGTCGATTATGGGCGAATAAGTGAAAAGCTGAGTCCGAAAAATCCATACGTTTTTCAGA